TACCATCAAATCGCGATAAGTTGTGGAAGTAGACTGTTTGAATTGATGGTTTTTTTCTAACAACGACCGCTATACGTTCTATAAAGTCGTACAACATCTTATTGCTCCTTTTATGGATTGTTTCAAATATATGAACCGCACTGAAATACGTTTAAATACTATTAGACCTCTCTGAAGACAGAGTATCACCTGGTTCTACCACTCAAAACCCCACTGCATAAGGCACATGAATATCGTTGATCAGAACTGTCTCTGTATCGGCTACAATGAAAGGCATCCTTTCCTTACTAGTAGGGTTGAGTGCTGTGATATGCTTATGATACTGACGTTTACGATGATCGATCTTCCTCGCTTCTTGATGTTCCACCACTGCCTCACTGTTCATGCTTCCCCCAATCAGGCTAGCTATCTGGTCTTCAGACAAATAACGCGGCTCATTAGATTGACATTCTGAATAATAGATTTCAAAGCCAAAGTTGTATAAGATCTTTTCATCTGTTTCTTAGACCTTACCATTACCGTGATATATCTTCTCATAAGTGTAAACTATAATTAGAGTGACATTCATTCCATTTTCACATGGAGTTTTTGAACTTACATAATTCTTCTTTAGAATCATTACCATATTTCTCAATAGAGCTATTATCATAGAGTTCACAGCTACCGCACATACCCGAAATATATAATTGATAAGAATTGTATAATTCTAAGACCTTATTCCTAAAAAGCGCATCATTTCTACGATGTGGCAAAACATGATGAAACAGATCAGTCAAAACTGAATCAGGAATAGGTTTCTATTTAAAGTACTCGATTTCCGTTTCCACTTGACTGAATGATTTATACGATACCAATCACTGGTCAGCCTGATTTATATCATAAATATGATGCTGGCAAAATAAAACTGTGAATCTATTCGCCCATCTGCTAAGATAATTCTTCTTCCTCACAGCTTGCATTCGATGCTTCTGTAGATCTATATAATAACCTGCTACTTTCATAGCAAAATGAGCAGTTGTTATGAAATTATCGTGTACTGTATATATAGGTATACCTTCATTTATAGCATTATTTATCATATAAAATGGCATCTTTCTTATGAATTCAATTTGGCAGCTGTAGTCTTTTTTCGATCACGTTCATGAGTGGGAATTCGTAGTGTGACTTGGCGCCGTTTCTTGTTGAAACGATCATATACCCATATATTGACAGCTTTCGATTTCATATAGTCCTGTATTGTTGTTAATACAGGCGTAGAATAGTAGACGGGTCTCCCCAAAGTGGATGCTATCCAACCTACAGAGCGGATTCAATTCATGAGATTTATAATCTGAGAATACTTATCTTTAAAGAAACGTTCGATCTTCAAAGCTAGTTTCATACAATCATTTATCTCATAGATATTCCCTCAATTTTGAAAGAGATCATCCGACATGCTGTATGCTGTCTTACCATAGACCAACGGCATGAAGAGGGATTTGACTCATTTTCGAGTCGAAATTGCGTGAAACTCTTCACTCCCTCAAGTGATCTTTCAGATGATCTAATAAGTAGATATAAACATCTTGAATCTTATTTTTATCATCTTTAGAATCCTCTTTAGGAATAAGATTTGTATTCACAGCAAAATTATGATATAACAAGAAGTAACTAATTATTTTATATGCACTTGCTGATGCATCTTGTGTGATAGGTATTTGCGAAGGACTTATATGAATACTTTTATCCAGACATATCACTTGACTTCAGAACTGATAGGGATCACTCGCTCCCACAACGAACTGAATGAGACTCTCATTAGATCTTCTATGAAGTTCCTGTTCAAGATACCGCATCATCGTAAGTATCAAACTTATTCAAATGAAAACCCGCAGCCGCTTGTATGATATTACTAACATTATGCATACCATTGTCATACTTTCGAATAGTACTTTTGGCAAATACTATTCAACTTCTTGCTAAATCACGTTCATGGAAATGTAATACCCCAGCACGATCAATCCTACCTCGGAAGTCAACAAATGCAGGTAAATAAAATTCATACCCCTCGTAGGCAGATGCTAAATCTAGTATAAAACATTCATAACGAGAACGTTGAACACGCGATAAGAACTCTTTTCAAATATCTTGGTATTTATAATCCTTAATCATTATCTGATGTTCAAAGAAAGTCTTCCTCAATAGGGTGATAGCCTCGGCAATATTGATTTTAGCAAGAAACTGAGGCATAAGCAGCCCGGATTTCACTAATTCATCATAATTTTGTTTGATATAGTTTAATACATCTTGATTGATCTAAAATGCCTCACTCTGTAATTTGTTCATGAGCCTAACATAATATTCAAATTGTTTCAATTTCGAGGATTATATAAATAAAATGATCCTAATGATCCGGTTCAATATCCACCTATAAGATCGGATAGTGATTTAGGGCTCTCTCCCTGCAATTTGAGTTCAGGTGCTACATCCCGCTTACATATCATTGGAAGATTGTATCTAACTGGTAAAAGATCAATATCAAAATGACATACAACAAATAAGGATTTATGAAGATAATACTGACCTTTCTTCTTATTCACTCTTGGATTATAAGATAAGTTTAAATCATCCGTTATACTAATAAACTCTCTAGATAATAAGAATTCTACCAATAAGATACCCACACTATGGCTTTTTACCACATCCCCCGAATCAACTTCTACACCACTCTTGACAGCTGGTTTCTTTTGGTTCAAAGATGATTTTCTCTCTATAAACAATTTGATATGAGTTCTATAAATATTATTCAATTGATCTACTAGAGTTGAAAGGCGAACTGCTGGGCTCTCTTCAACACTATTGAAGACAGAACCTAATGTATAAAGAATGATCACCTCTAAAGTATATTGACTAAAGTCATTTAGACATTCCAACTCCTCTGAATAAAGTTTATTACTAGCCTTAAGATAGTCCTTTGCTGAAGGTTCCCTGCTTACTATTGCTATCACCTCAACTGCTTTCGACTTGCTCACTTAGAATGAAGATCAATAAGAATAATGGGCGGAAAGGCTTTACACAAGACCACAGAGCGAGAGAGAGAGCCTTCGCTTACCTGCTTCACCGTGCCCTCCTATCGTACCTATATCCCCTTCAGTTACATTCAGTCTCAGTTCTGCTTCCAACTACCGATGGTGGACGTATAGCAAGATGAAATAAGAGGTATGGCATACGGGAATGGTATCTAAAATGAAAGGCTGGAAACAGAGCTGGAGATGAGCGCTAGCCAATGGTGAATACTTCAGAAAGCACCTTAGCAATTCAATTACCAGTAATGCCCCTATCGACCGCAGTCTTGTTTTTTGCTAGCTTGAGTCTATAACTATACTATCTCATTAAACGCCGAATATCCATATATATATATAATAGAATAGAAATCTTTTTTTATGGTATGGAAGATAGTCGGCCCACTTCTAGCCGTTCAAGCGATTATGCCTGCTCTAGCCCTACCATCCACCCCTATCATAATAGAAAGGGGTACTTTCGAGCTGATCTGTAACGGATCAAAGCGACCGTTAGTCGGGCTGATCTGTGATTGTTGGTCAAGGCGACCGAGAGGACACATACCTCCTCCATATTCCTTAAATGGGCAAGACTCGGGTACTGCATGCTAGAAGTAAAAAAGTTTACTTAAATTCTAATAAAAGTAAAAAGCTGGAATCTGAGAAGACAAGACCCCCTAAGAGCGTCTTGTAAACCAATTATTCGATCTGGAGATCCCAGCAAGGCTGCCGGAGACATCACTAAACCCAGGGATGTCTCTTGCAAAGAAGAATTCGTAGAGATTTTCCCAGAACCCCAGTCCAGCCTACCCGACTGATATAATCTAGAATAGACTCTCCGCCCTTATTAGTAGTAGGCGAATAGTGACCCTATTTGTATGCGCATTCACACGACGGGCACGTTCCAAGATCTCCCGCAACGAGAACCTAACACATGGTTTATTGATAGTAAACTGATTAAATAAAATGAATCATAGGTTGGTTTAATATTGAGTTCCGCGTGTCTGTGTGTTTTTTTTTAAGGGGCATCCAATTCCTCTTCTTTCTTTTGCTGCTGATCTCACATCTTTCGCAGCTCCTTCTTGTTCAGGGTCATCAGATGAGAGATCTTCCTCCGAAAACCTCCGACTCCGAGAAAATCGGTCAAACGGGAGGCTACCCTCGACTAACCTCTCTATCTATAAAAACCCCTTCCCAGAGGAGAGCAGAAGCTCCAGGATGAGTATGTCCTGGATTCCGGGATTCATTCTCGTCTTGATCCACTATGGAATTTTCGAAATCTACAAAAACATTCTAGGGTAAATGATCTTCTCAAAGATCGCAAGGTTCTGAAGTGGCAGGATAGGTAGGGGGGATCTGTAGGTTTTTGTGAAAGGGATGCTCTTATCATGTTATTGCTTAAAAGAAAAATATTCACTAGTTGATTTGCCTTCTCATCCTTCACATACATCATACGACGATGAAAGGATGGACGTGGATACCCTTTTCTCGTGAGGGAAACAGGGATGGGTGACATTTCCCGCTTACGCGGAATACCAGCATAAGCTGTCATTAGGGCCGTACTGCTTCAAATAAAGTGCTGTATGTAAAGAAAAGACCGACGGGTTATCTGAATCAACCGCTTACCGAACAAGTCAGCCCCAATACAGGCCTCCTTAGTCAGACCATCAGTAGCTAAACAAATCACCTTACAACAGTATGATTGTAATAGCCTACAACCCCCTCACTTTCTCTCTATAGGTTGTTGGTCAGGTAAGGCTGTCTACCAGGCGGTTTTTTCTTTCGGCGGCTTATGTGTATGTGCATTTCCTCCCTCTTTCCTGTGCCTATTAAGAAGTAAAGAAATAAGAAGGAATCCCGGGCGAAAGGTTCAGTGCTTAGGGCGTTGGGGTCCCGGTTTACTCTAAGCTAGCGAGAATCCGTTCTAACTCGAAATATCGTAAGAGAATAAAAAGAATGTTACGCCCCATTTATCCCATTTCTTTCTTGGTTTGACAAACCGGCGATTTCCGTGAGCAAGAACAAGTCTCTCTTTTTGTTTGGGGGGAGCAGAGCAGTCAAAGAATGAACCAAACCAAATGATTGTTCTAGAATGGCTATTCCTCACAATTGCTCCTTGTGATGCAGCGGAACCATGGCAATTAGGATCTCAAGACGCAGCAACACCTATGATGCAAGGAATAATAGACTTACATCACGATATCTTTTTCTTCCTCATTCTTATTTTGGTTTTCGTATCATGGATCTTGGTTCGCGCTTTATGGCATTTCCACTATAAAAAAAATCCAATCCCGCAAAGGATTGTTCATGGAACTACTATCGAGATTCTTCGGACCATATTTCCTAGTATCATCCCGATGTTCATTGCTATACCATCATTTGCTCTGTTATACTCAATGGACGAGGTAGTAGTAGATCCAGCCATGACTATCAAAGCTATTGGACATCAATGGTATCGGAGTGCGCCTCTTCACGAGGGTGATTGAAGTGCAACGAAATGCCTTCAAGTTTCATATGGTTCGCGAAGCATCTGGCTGACCGGTAATCTCCCATTCCCGCCGTCGAGATACTTTCATAACTATAGCATGCCAGAAACGGGGAGTTTAGGTGGTTAGACCTATACCCCGAAATGCTCCCAGCATAAGAGCCTATGGTTCCATTCTTGTTGTTGCTGGAGGTACACATCCCTCTTCTCGGTGTGGAACGATATACGAGAAATAGATGCTCAGCCTGCAATGTCCGATAACGGCGCTGAAGTAGTGAATCTATCGGCACCATAGCAGTGGTATACAACTTTGGACCTAACGGCCGGCCTAGTAACCTTTCGGAATGGGGGATCCCCGTTGGCAACAACCACGGTAGTAGTTGCGGAACTACTGGGCTGGGAGAGGACAACCTCTTTCTTCGCTTCGGGGACGGAGGTCCTACGGTAGGTAACAGCAGGCACAAGCAAGTTGACCGAAGGGGACCAGCGCTTCTACTCCTCCACCGAGGAGCCGTTCGCAGCGAGAAGCAAGGGCTGTCGTGAACGGTGGGAGGTCACAGAGAATTTACCTATTCATAGAGTGATCCTATGATCGATACAGGATATATACTATCTCTTTCTTTATTCTATTTATTAAAAAAAAAGAAGGGTCCCTCTCCCTATCAGTCGAGTCTATTCTCACCTCTCCTTATCAGTCGAGTATAGTATCTTCTAACCTCTCCTTCTCTCCTATCAGTCGAGTCTATTCTCACCTCTCACTTTGTTCGAGCAACTACGTCCCTCAACTTCTCAGCTAGAGTTGGTTTATGTTGGCGCTGGAACGTGGGAATTCGAGGTCTCATGAACTACTACTCAAAACCTACTTGGTTTTTGGACAAACGATATCCGGTCAGGCCTATGGATGGATCCTTTTATATCTACGGCGGCCGTTTACATGAGCATAGAGAATCTATACTCGAGGCCCCTTACAGGATAGGTGAGGAATCACTCTGGATCTGGCTACAACTTCGCCGAGCCGACTAGCATCCCTTTCCACTGTGAATTTATCGAACAAATAAGACGGATCGAATTCGCTCTTCAATAAACTGCTCGTCCCATACCTTCTGCCTGTCTCATATGTGTGGAACCAGGTATTTTTCGGTTCCATAGGGCCAACCCTGGGTGAGAAACGGTTCCCTCTTGCCAATCAACTTTCCCCGGCCTTCTATTACCCTTAGGTCTTACGGTCGGCTAACTAAAGAAAAAAAGTGTTCTTTCTAAGAGTAGGCGTGGAGAGCTTTTTGCGGGGAAACTTGCAAGTACAGTTTGGGGGGAGGCGGGCGTCGACCCAACCTTATGAGTATTCGGACTATAACAGTTCCGATGAACAGTCTCTCACTTTTGACAGTTATACGATTCCAGAAGATGATCCAGAATTGGGTCAATCACGTTTATTAGAAGTGGACAATAGAGTGGTTGTACCAGCCAAAACTCATTTACGTATTATTGTAACATCTGCTGATGTACCTCATAGTTGGGCTGTACCTTCCTTAGGTGTCAAATGTGATGCTGTACCTGGTCGTTTAAATCAGACCTCTATTTCGGTACAACGAGAAGGAGTTTACTATGGTCAGTGCAGTGAGATTTGTGGAACGAATCATGCCTTTATGCCTATCGTCGTAGAAGCTGTTTCTAGGAAAGATTATGGTTCTCGGGTATTCAAAAAATTAATCGGGGGAGCTTAAGCGAAAAGAAAAGAGTAGGGTGAGGGGGAAGCAAGGCTTCGCTCGCTCGCTCCAACGCTCGTTTAGTAGACAGCGAGTGGAGTGCATAAGCCCCTTTAGAGATAGGGGCGAGTACTACACGAGCTCGTAAGTCAAGTACGGAACGAGCCTTGTCTACGAAGCAGAGCACCCTCATCTTGCTTGCTTCTGGCGAAGCTTCTAGCACTAGATAATAGGCATTCTGGTATGGCAGGAATACCACTTTTGAGGTCGACCACTACATAGGAGCAATAGCGAAGCCAAGCCGTAGAAAGGCGAGCAGCCCTTATAGCATAGCAATAGCAAAGGGCCTACTTATAGCCCTATACAAACCTTATAAAAGCGCCCACGGGTAGTGATACTTTCTATCTATTAAAACCTGAGTACCCATACATGATGCAAAGATGTTGAGAACATCGTCATTCTAAGACAGAAGATTCCATTCGGGGAACCGGATCCAAGTCAAATCAGAGTGTCCAACGACGGCTTGCAATCGGGATCCCATCGACGAACTGTGAGAGAATGGAATGATCCAAGGAACCTCAGACATGATCATATAAAGCTCCTAGGGCAAACTTCATAAAGAACATGACCATAGCCTTGACAAAGCGCACAGCTTTTACTCTAATGAATATAAAGTGATTTCACAATGTTATAGAAGTCAGATCTAGTGCTACTCATGAGCGTACAAAGCTTAGAGCAAGGAAGAATAGCTAATCAGGAAGACCGGTTGCAATCAGTCTTGCAAGTCCAAGATAAGCTGTGTAAGAAAAGGAGTCAGCACATTTCCAATTAGAATCTCCTGTCTTAGGAATGGTCTCGCGAAGCCGATAACCGTTCAGCTAAGATACGAGATGACTAGTGAATAAAGACAGAATTCCTTCAGTAGGGTCCATCCTTTTTCGAAAAAAGTGACACAGCACAGATAATCTAAGACTCAGAGAGATGAATAAGAGGGGGAATGAAACTGTGCGTAGAATCAACGGTCAATATCATCTCTGTCTTGGTACTTGCCCGAAGAAGACGAATCAATCAGTCTTATTCTAACCGCCAGTTCATTTCTATGAGCTGAGGAAAGGAAATGAGCTATCCGCTTTGGAATTCCGTTGTGGCTGTAAGTCATCTCCTACGGATCCTACGGACCGCTCTCTTATCTTCAATCAGTGTGCACCGAGGGAGTCAAGATTGAGAGAGTAAGTGTGCAGTGGACCTATTAGCCTATTGTTCATTCAACTAATTCATAGTTCACTTAGCCCTCTAGCTTCAAGCTATCAGTCAAGTTAGGAGGAGAGGAGGATTCAATCTAGACTTATCCGGAATCTTAGTTTGAATCTGTACTTCCTTTCCTTGCATCAAAACTTTCCTTGTCTGCCGGCGAATACGGGATTGTCTCTGTCGGAATCGAGGTCAGATCAAGACTGGCATGAAGTGATGGGATTGAACTTGAACTCTCAGGTCTTGCATTTCCTCTATCAAGCCGTAGATCACTCTATTGAATGAGGAATACGATTCCCTGCTTTCATCATAAGAAAGGGGTCTTGGAAGAAAGAAAGTTTTGTATCGTAGTCCCTGAAGTGGAGCTTTCGCCCTTCTACTCTGGCATTTCCCATTGGCCTAAGGTAGTTCGCTTCGGTGGTGAAACGGCTTTTCCGTGGCTTTCCCGTTGTAGAGGGATTTTCAGATCTTATTATTCCTATGGATATTTCCCAGTGAAGAAAAGAAAGCTGCTAGGCTTATTAAGAGAAGAGGAATGAGAAAGACTTATACAGCAAAGAGTAGATATCATCCATAAGGTTAGTAGCTTACCTATATACATTGCTAGTTAGTAGCATCCATAGTGAATAGACTAATAGGGAAGAAGAGCTCTGTTGCTACTTCGGGACTAGCTCTTTATAAGGCTAGGGGAGCAGCTGCTGCTTTATGATATTCATACTTTCGCTTTCGATTCCTTTTCTTTTTGCACTTTGCTAAGCGAGTTTGATTCCCCTCTGGTTGGGGGATTGAATCAACCAACTCAACTCAACTATAGTTGCATATACCGGGATAGACCCACTGAATCTTTCTATCTCCATTCCATGTTTGCCTCCTTGGACAACTGATGAATGTAGTTTCTAACGATAGCTTAAGAGGGATTGGTGATTCCCTTATAAACTAGGGTATTCAAAGCCTTTTTTCTGTGCTAATAAGCTTTAGAAGTTTCACTGCGGGGCGAAACCTTTTCTTAAACTTCAAGTAGCTGCTTTCCCCCCGCTTCCGGGGCTCCAAAGTAGGGCAAAAGCAGTTTTCCGCGTTGTGTTGTAGAGGTTTAAATAACTCGACTGAAAGGAGAGGTGAGAATAGACTCGACTGATAGGAGAGAAGGAGAGGGGAGAAGATACTATACTCGACTGATAAGGAGAGGAAATACTTTTTTATTTTCTTGGTAAGGTCGATCAAACTTGATTTACCTTATTCCCTTGGTATGGTAGGTAGGTTATTAAGAGTGAATAAAATAGGACTGAATAGGGCTTATGGAACACCAACGGAATATTTGCTTTAAACGATTTGACCCGCAAAAACTATTCAGCTTTTTCTGGTCTTCCAACTCGGCTAATCGCCAGGAATGGAAATACCTTAGCGGGCATCCTACGCATTTTCCTTTAGATTTGTATCTTTATAAAATCTCTGCAGATGAACCTTGTGATCTAGCTTGATTTTAGTAACCACTAGGATGATCATACCTTCACATTAGGATGAGTGAAGCATGAGATGTTTGATGTTTTTCCGCTGTTGAATCAAAAATGGATGTTGACATCTTGAAATCACTTCTAATAAAGGAGTACCCTTAGGGGCATGCTCTCCAATTCGCATGATGAGTATCAATTCAAGTACCACCAAATCCTATTCTTTATTCTATTTTTTGCATTACTGCAAATCAGTATAGTTCCAAGCCTTCTCATTCCATTGTGCCCTAGGATTCATTCGTATCTTACTTGGAATTCGCCAGAGCGATAGTTCTTCGAAAGACGTGAACCACGAGTGGTGATGGTGGCTGGTTCATCTTCAAGGCAGGCGAGAAGGCATAAAGAATCGGCCCACCTTTCCATATCGAGGACCAGCTCTTCCACACCGAGATACCATCATGTTAGTCAAGTTATCATATTCTTTGTTCCTCAAGCGTTGCTAGGTGGTGTAATGCTTCTAGCTCAGGTGCACTTCGCCTTCACTCTTCTTTGCTTCTCCTGTCCACCATGGCTGAAGTCAAACTAGACTTTGAGTTCCTCTTTTAATAACAAAAAAAGAATCCCACTTCGTTGTCTTTCTCTTTCTCCCCTACTACTATCGGTATCCCCAGTAGTGAGGAGGTGGATTTTTCCTTATCGATGGATAGCCCGAGTCTTTTCTTTTAGCGGGAGAGTCGGCAGCAGCTATTGAATCCGATCCGCATCTGTTGTCGAAAAGAAAAGGAGTTCTAAGTGAGTCATAAGGAAAAAGTGTGGTATAGCTTGGACCAATAAATTATCTTCTTTCATCTACTCGCTTTCAGCGCTTTTCAAAAAAGGTCGGAATAAATGCACTGGATTATAAATATATATATAAATAACACCGGCCGGCTGCTTTTTATTTATGCAAAAAAAAGACAAAACGGCCACTCATAAGGAAGTCAATTTATATATCTTTTAAAGGGTTGTCTTTTTGGTTGAAATGGGATGGTGTTCAAACTCCCGAAATGCAGTATAGACAGCGGACCCTCCCCTTTCTGACAGGACTGACTCGGGGAAGGGTCAATCTCCTCCGGAGCATGCTTCACAGCCACTCATTCGTCCTGGCCAAATAGTAGAATCTATCTCTCAGCAATTCTTTTCTCCGCTAATCACCCCTTCCCAACCAGCCCGCCCGATCGATCTTGTAAGATCGGGCTAATTCAAAGGGTGAATCTGACCGACGTTTGCTTTATCGAAAAAAGCTTGATTAGGCCTATTTGAAACCATTACAGCTGGCGTCGACCAGCTTTGCGATACGGACGGACACGAAAAAGAACGCAGGCAGCGGAAATGCAAAAGAGAAGAGCAAAGATTCCCGACCCAGAGCATGTTATTGACTCTACCACAAATCTGTGAAATGAAGATGAAGGTAGCTTGCTTACTCTCAGACACTAGTTAGACAGAAATCCCTTCACTTCGTTTATGCCCTTATGCAGTAAAGAAAGCAAGTGAGGCGGGCTAAGATTCCATTCGAAGTAACGTAACAGGATTCGATGTTGCACCATCTTCAATTCTTATCGGGATCCGGAGTCTTTCGAGAAAAGGTCCCATCCTTCAATATCATGATTGGGTCGACCAGACCAGATCATGAGCGAATAGAAAATAAAAAATGTACATAGCTGTTCCAGCTGAAATACTTGGAATAATTCTACCACTTCTACTAGGAGTAGCCTTTTTAGTGCTAGCTGAACGTAAAGTAATGGCTTTTGTGCAACGTCGAAAGGGTCCTGATGTAGTGGGATCATTTGGATTGTTACAACCTCTAGCAGATGGTTTGAAATTGATTCTAAAAGAACCTATTTCACCAAGTAGTGCTAATTTCTCCCTTTTTAGAATGGCTCCAGTGGCTACATTTATGTTAAGTCTGGTCGCTCGGGCCGTTGTACCTTTTGATTATGGTATGGTATTGTCAGATCCGAACATAGGGCTACTTTATTTGTTTGCCATATCTTCGCTAGGTGTTTATGGAATTATTATAGCAGGTTGGTCTAGTAATTAGGGGGCGGCCGTTCGGTCGCCTATGATACTAGGACCAATAGGTCAAAAATGGGTTTGTGCCGCAGGTGTTGAACGATCTACTCTACACAGGTGTGGGCTTACAGGGCTAGGGCTCATAAACCCTTTATTTATCAATAGGGCCCTGGCCGGTCACTTTTCTGGGGCCGGATCGATAAGTGGAAGTCCTAAAAAAAAAGATATTTATCTTCGCACCTCAGATCAAGAGGAAGGGTTGCTTGTCAAGCTAGCCTAGAATAGAATTCATAATCTATTTATTTAGTATTTCTATTTTTTTAGATAATATAATAGAAAGAAGATAAAAAAGGTAAAAAGATTCGCTTTCTTTTCACCGGCTCTTTCTTATTTATCCACGCTACTAAGGACCTATAGGGTTGCCTACTTGACTTATGAAAGATAATGAGAATGGGTTCTTCAAACAAAAAGGAAAGGGCGCTACTTAGTTTCGCAAGCCTTTGTCATTGTCAGTCAACTAAGTAGGGCCTGAGGCCCCCTGCGAATCCGTAAATATGAGGAGCATGCCGCAACAAAAGGATGGTCCCCTATTCATTTCATTTTTTCCAA